AATTGTATGCTGTTGCCTGCTATATAACACTGCATATTATCACTTCTATGGTGGCTATGTACCCACCACTGCACTGGGTGCCTTGTGGCACCCTTCTCCATCACTCCATATTCAAGGATCTGAACCCGACTCCCTTTTGATTGCTGTATCAAGGGTATTTCTGTAAAAAATAACCCAGATTAATCAGAACTGGCTTCAGCATGCAACAGTGCAACACCACACACCACCTCTCCTGCCCCAAAAGGCTGTTAAAACAGATGGACTAAATGAACTCAATGGTCATTTTACAGGGATGGTGCATAGACTAGGGAAATGATATCTCTGTGTGTGTGTATCAAAAGACAGGAATGGTGATGGTGTACTGGAAAGTGTGGGACCTGGGCATGACATAAATGGTGTAGAATAAGGGGTGGATACTGTTCTGGTTTCAGCTGGGATGGAGTTAATTTTCTTCCTATTAGCTGGTGCAGTGCTGTGTTTTGGCTTCAGTCTGAGAACAATGCTGGTAACACACTGATGTTTTAGTTGTTGCTAAGTAATGCTTACCCTGATCAAGGACTTTTCAGTTTCTCATGCTCTGCCAGTGAGGAGGGGCACGGGAAGCCCGGAGGGAGCACAGCCAGGACCCAACCTGGCCAAAGGGATATTCCATACCACATCACTTCAGGCTTGGTACAGAAACGGGGGAGTTGGATGGGAGGGACAGGCTGGGCATCAGTCAGCTGGTGGTGAGCAACTGTATTGTGCATCGGCTGTCTGTCTTGGGGTTTACTCCTCTCTCTTTTTGTTGTATCCCTTTTCATTACAATTATATTCTTATATTTTATTTTATTTCAGTCTGTTACCTCAACCCATGGGTTTTCCCTTTCTTCCGATTCTCCTTCCCATCCCACCAGGGGGGGTGTGTGTGTGTGTGTCAGTGAGTGGCTGTATGGTACATAGTTGCTGGCTGGGGTTAAACCACAACAAATGGCATATTTCTTTGCTATATTTAATACATTTGTGCTGTTTGCTCCCAAAAGTATCTTGAGCATATGCCAAAAATGGCACAGAATTTTACATTTGTTACAGGCTATCTTTTCTCCAGGCTCTACCCAGAGGTTTACAAAGGAGCATGGGGAAAGCAGTGCCCAGAGATGAGCGGCACTTGAAGGTCATCCTGAGTTGTTAGTAGATGGGAGACACAGCATCGGAGCTTCCGACTGCCGTGAATTGTGATGACCCAAGCTCCTCTGGTGAAACTGTCTGTGCTCTGTTAACCCAATAAAGACAACTGGGAAACCAGGACTTTTAACAGTTACAGTGTCAGGAATTTGTGTGTTAACTGCTTGTTTCAAAACAAGATGTTTGCTTTCACAATTGCATTTTCCTTCTGCTCTCTTTGACAGATTACAGGAAGAAAGAGGAACAACTGTTTAGCGGATGAATGGAATTTATAGAACAAACAACCTTAAAAAACATATTCTTGCCCTCTCATTTTAATCCTTTTACAGCATTCATTACAAAATTACATTAAAAATGTATATAATTTAAAGTTGTCTCTACTGCCTATTTAAATGCATCTGTTACATTTTAGTGCTATAACATTCTACCTTTTCTTGCAAACTTGTAAAATAATCAAGACTGTTTAAAAACAGTTAAAAAAAACAAACCAGATTTAATCTTGTTTTACCTGAACAGTTAGAGAACTTGCAGGGAAATGTTCATCAGATGTGAACACTGAACTCAGTTGTGACTCAGGATGCTCCATAAGTAGAACACAGACTGATGTTATCATCTCCCTTTCTCATTATGGTATGTCAGAGTCATGTCAAAAGTCTTCACTTTTTGCAGGACTTTCCTGCTTGCCCTTGTAGAGGAGGAATCAAGAACCCACACATCTGCTATCTTTAATTCTAGATTAAATACAGGTAGTGCTAAATAGATAAGGAGTTAATTCTCGGTAGCTAGAAAAGTTAAGGGATTTTTAGTCAGGCTTTTCAAAACCAGTTTTGTTTTTCCCCTTTCTTTATGATATCTTAGTTGAATGAGAACTTCACCTTCTGAAGAAAGGTCAAATGAAAATATTCAAGTACTCCACCCTCTTCACTTGGCATCTTGCTCATAAGAAAATTCATTTGGAACTTTCCAGCAGATTCCTCCTTTTTTCTTTTCTACAGAAAAAACTTGAGACTTGAGAAAATAGTAACAATCATGTTACCCCCTTGGAATATTAAAAGAACATTTGCAGGGCACGTTTACAGCAGGTTAAATGTTATGCTATAGGAAATAACAGCATCCTTCTGCATGTCACTGCATACTTCAAAGCGTGACACTATTTAATCTTTTAAATACTAAGCAATGTTTTTACACTGGTATAAACATATTATTTCCTTCCTTGAAAATGGCAATTGCAGTAGATAATCCAGTGAGACGTAGCCACCTAGGTCTTGCTTTTAAACTACGGAGACATCTTGCGTTGCCACAGGACACAGCCACTGCATCATTCTGGTTTGCTGAGGTACCTACCAGTAGCAATCTAACCAGCCTAACAGCCCCGTAGCCAACCATTTACCTGCTTCTCAGCTGCAGCAGGAGTAACTGCAGGGCAGACATAACCCACCTGATTACTACATGTAGCTTTGCCAACAGCATCTCTTCACTCTGACTTCACTGTTCTGATATTTGATACATGTGTGGCATACCTGAACTACAACATTAGCCTGCAAGCTCACACTCATTTGTGAACAGGAAGGCCCGAGTACTTGTTAAAGCCTTTGGAACAATTTTCTTCTATTAAGAAGACACAGGAGTACCAGTATGTACTTTGATAGTTTGTTTTCATTAGTATAATTACAATACATTCTGGACAGTTACAAAATCTGGGGAATCACGTTTTCTCCATAAATTTCTATTGCAAACTTCAGACCTGTGGGTGCCTTTCCATTACTCCTGCACACTTTTCCTACAATCTTAGTAAGGACACCCAGTACAGCAACCCTCTTTTTTTCCCATTTGTTTCAGCAGCTGTTAGTTCTGCTTTGTGCCTCAGGCTTTCATGTCCACCCTGAATGCTGGTTTAGCTGCTTACTTAAAAGCCTGCAGCTAGTCCCTCTCATGTTACACCAATTCAATAGAGGACATTTCCAGTGGGACAGTTTAGAAAAGGTATATATATGCAAAAATGATTTCTGGGTCACTTAGAGCAACAGCATTTAGTGTATGTCTGAAGTCAAATCCTGCTCTAGATCAGGAGGAATTCCAATGAAGTCAGTCAAGTATTTAAACTTTCAGTTCAGGAGGAGAGTTTGGCTCCACATAAACCGATAGCATTGCTCAAAGATAGCGGTTTTCTCAGACAAAAAATACTGCCCTTATTAAGAGCCACCTGGCATTCTCAAATGCAAGAAACATTCTCCTGCATAGCCCTGTTAAAATGTAAAAACATCAGCTACTGAACCTAAAAACATTTTCAACATACTTTTGATAAACTTTAAGTACATTGTAGTTAGCTGCTTCAAAACACCTCTTTGCATCAGCAGGTGTGGCTACATATAGTTTCCACATACAAACCAAATGGTATCTTTGCTCATGTCTGGGAAGTCTGTCCAGCAACATTCTGGTCTAGGAAAGTGCATACTCTACCTCTTCTGCCCCGGGACAAGTGATACGGCTCTGACCATAGGAGCCTACTGCAAGCTAGCAAAGCATTTAAATAGTTGGCGAAAGTGTTGAAAGGCACATAGCTTGTCCTTAGCAATATTTCCCTGTTTCACTTGTGGTGCTCATTGAGGAATCAGTGTTGGGACATAGCTTGAAATAAAAAAAGAGTAAGAAAATGGAAGCCTGCCAGGAAAATACAAATAGGTTGCCTTTTCTTCATCTAATTTTCTTTTTAGCTTTAAGATTTTACTATTGCATGTTTTCCTCTACCTTTCCAGTGAAAATTCAGGAAGCTATGGATGCATATTAACCATACGCATGGACTTACTACTACTGGAATACCAAATGGTAGAGCTGCTGTAAACTGCTGCAAGTACTAAAAGCAATGCTTATAATGGTCTGTACAGCATTTGCAAATATTTACTTGGAAAAGAGATTAGTGTAGTTCTTAGTTTTCTCAGCATTGCTTAGAAATGCTAAAAAACTACACCAGCTAAGTGCTACTCTACACCAGATCAATGTACCCCAACAGATATTTAGGAATATATGCCATTATATTTAAAAATACCAAGTTCCTCTAAGCTGGTAAACCTAGAAGATTTTACATAGAGTTAGAGATAAAATATTAAAAATTCTTGTTTCAACTCCACACACTTGACATCTGAATAGGAGTAATGTAATCATACTATTTATTCCATCAGTGAGACAAAATGTTGTATGGAACTAAATTTCTGAGGTTTTTAAATAGAAAGTCATTTAACTCGTATATACACAAAGTGTTCTTTCCACAGATATTTACATGGCAAATATGTTAGAGGAGAACCACTATGACTAAGTCTCTACAAGTATAGCATCCTTTCTGAGCTATTCTCTCTGCTGAAAGAATTCACAGAAGCTTGGAAGGAAAATCTAGACAATTAAAGTTACCTGTATTTCACAGTAGGTAAAGAAGCCATTAAATGATATTTCAGCATAAGGTTTCTGGAAACAGCTACACAGTAGAGTTTTACATCCACCCCTCTTTTCCAGCATTCATGGTGAAACTAATCTCTTCTTAATTTACAAGAGAGAGAACGGCATACGTAAAGATGGACGTGTGTAACCGTAGTTCATCCTCCTCGATAGAGGCTGGTCAGCCGTTCCAGTTCTTTGCAGTTGTCCATGGACATGGAGTCTGCTTTCCTTCGGAGACGGTCATCTCGATAAACTTTTGCTGCATAAAGTAAGTCTGTTTCTTTAAGGAAAAAGAGAAAAGTTTTTCTCAGGTTAAAACCTGAATACTTTGCACACAATACATTCCTTCTCAAAGCTGTACAAAACACCTCAGGTTTAATCCTTGCCCTTTTCTCCTTCTGTCTATTCTGACTACACCACCTCAACAGCACTGCTACAGCTTCTCTTTGCTGGGCCTTCATGAGCATTTCATCTTTTTGAACAGGGAAAGTGGTAACAGCCTTCCAGCACCCTCATATTTCATACAGCAATATCTGATTAAAAAAACCAAACAACAAAAAATCCCCTCCTACTTCTGACAGACCTCATAAAACAACACAAATACAGGCCACACTCAGTGATCTTGCGTATTATCGACAGCTCTGGTGCTTGTCTGTGCCCAAAAATCCATTCTCAATGTTAAGCCCATTACTTCAACTGATGCTGCTTCAGACTGCCAGTGTTCAGAGGTATTAATAAAAGAGTTCTCTGGATTCTATTGGTGTTCAATAGCTTGACATTGTTAAGCATTTTAATTCCAGAAAATCTTTTTCAGCCCTTCAACTCAAAATGGATTAGCAAAGCTTTCTTACATGTCAATCAATGCTGGAAAGATTTTAATTGTCAAGAAGATCCAACACACAACAGCTATTTTAAATCCATAAACCCACAAAATCAGCTGTTTCTATAAATAGAGAATATCTATTAAGAGCTGCTTACCCAAAATCAATTTGGGTAGTTTTCACAACCTGATAAATTGCAAGTAGCAAATAACATGACAGTCACCACCTTCAGGTAATTTTTCTTCTTTATATTAGGGTCAGATGCTTCTGTAGTTATCACATTTATTCCCTGTGAGTATGTATATACAGAAGTGTGGGCCTCTCTGCATTGTCCAGGACTGTTAATGCTTAAAAATGTAAGCATGTCAAGAATAAATGCTGAAAGATGGGAAAGGTATTCTTTCTCTTTTTTCCCTCCCCAGGTGGAAACTACCTATCAACTAAACCTTTTCAAAGACAGTAAATATATTACAGAAGACACAAATGTAACGTGCCAGTAAATCTAAGTGTAATGACTAGGACAGTGAAAGCAAACTATCCTTCCAGATCCACTCTGCTGAGAAAATGTACAAATCATAATGTCCTCTTTTTATTTTTTGTTTGTTTGTTAACAACCACCTCTCATTTTTGTAACTCTTTTATTATAAGACTACCAATCATTCATCTAGCAACCACCTGCAGATGAAAAGCTAGGTATTCATTTCATGAAAAGTGAACATACTCAAACATTCCAAGATGATCAAAGGACAATCTAGTTGGAAAAATAGAAGAGTTTTTGTTATTTGCTTATGAATTATACCTAAAAGTTCTCTGATGATTTCCTGTGTTTGAAAAACCTAGAAAAAATTATTCTCACCAAAACTAGTAGTCTGGGAAATTATCCGAAGGGTTTCCCTCAAAGCACTGCTGTTTCTCTTGCAGACATTTGACCCATCAGCACAGTTTTCTACCCACCAGGTCTTTCCTGGGGGCAATTTGTAAAACTGTAGAGATTTACTTGTGTATAAGGAGTATGTACTCATGAGCAACGAGCATAAAATCTCCAGAAAGCACTGGGCCTACTATGCATGGACAATGCAGTTTGTACTTGTATACATACACGCTAACTGTAAAGAACGCATCTCGTCTTGCTCAGGCACGTGATGCCATGTTGTCTTTTACAACTGGGAGAAACTAAGGGGCCATCGCAGCTGAAAGGCTTGAACTGCAGAGCGTAAAGTTGTGCAGGAACATGAGATTTCACTCAAAGAAGAGCATTCTGTTTGTTTCCGGTCAGTTCACTGACAATTCATGAATGAGTTACTTATCCAGTAAGTTATTACTGAAGCTTACTGCCTGAAAAGTTGAAACCATCTGGTTTCAACATTGATGTAATTTTAGCAGCACTATTCTCACAGAGCATGAAAGGCTCACAAAATGAGCACAGATAATAGAATAACAGGTTAAAATTGATGATACGGAGATGGTTGATGCTATTCAGAATTCTTATGCTTTAACACTGAATTCTAGGCTGCTGAAAGAAAATACCTCCATGTATGATATTAAACTAGATTGGAAAAACAGATGGTAAACTGAAAAAAGAAAAACCCCACCCCAAAACCCAACCATTTTTAAGGTCTGATATAGACAAGGTACCAAGTCCAGGGGGAAAAATTACTCAGCACTGGCAAAACATTAACCACTGATTTGCAGCTTGTGAATTTTAACAGGACACGCTGTGTGTCCTCGGTGACCTGGAAAAGCAGTCTTTGTATGTACTGTGGTGCTTTCTCCAGAAACATTTATGTAGGTGTTTACTGTCCTTAACTTAGAGCAATTTCTTTCTCATTATCAATTCACTGTAGTCTTTAATCTTCTGAGAAATAGTCACAGATAATAAAGTAGCATGTTCGAATTGCTGACGATTTGCAGATGGTTGTTAGCTCACTGAGTAAAGCACAAAAATTAAGTGACATTGGTGACCTTTTTAGAAGTGAGAAACAGTAGGGAACCTTACGCTTGCTTTCTCATCAAAACACTTTAATAATACAAGCACTTCATTCTTACCTGAGGCAATATTTTTTTACAGTAATGCATGCTTTCATGAAAATACACATACTGCCAAACTTACTTTGTTGCCTCTCCTTCCAACAGTTATTACGAATGTTGGACACATAATCCTCTTCCACACTCTTTTCCACTTTCTCTAGTGACAGTCCTTTGTATTCATTTTTAAAGTCCTTGTTGACATAATAAACGACACGCAAGTTTTCTGTCTGCATTTTTATGGTCTGTCCTGTACTTCTGCAAAAAAAGGAGGGATTGGGGAAAGAGAGACTAGATATTTATTTTATGGGTTTTAACACCACAAATAACACTTTAAGAAATACTGCTATTACAGAAGAACAGCATGTTTCTGAATTTGCCATTTCAAGACAAGTAAAGAAGTGAATGGCTGTATAATTTGCCAGAGAATAAAAGTTACTACATTTACCTGAACATTAAGCTTCTGCTGCTTAAACCTTTGATCTTGAAAAAGCTACATTAGTAAGATTCTTGTTTCTTGTTTAATAGAAGGCTCCCTAAAATGCTTCTAAGTGGGAGAGGCTGATTGCAATATCCTCCCCTGTTTTAAGCTAATGTAATTGAGCATTACTTACGATCTTGGATATAAGGCGTAAGGAGGGTTAGATACCATCAACTGGCTCAACAAGGAGACAAGGATCAACACAATAATAGGCATCAGCTGAATGAACATAGAGAAACCTCCCTAAGGAACAAAACAGATTCAGGTATTTCACAAAACCGCATCAGATAAACAGGTAGATTTGACAAGATTTAATGCTAAGCATGACTTTCTGCTTTAAACATTAAAAACTGCTACGCAAACTATAACTGCAAACACTGTATTGTTATCTTACCTTTCTGATGCATACACAATATTCACAGGGTGCTCAAGCTGCAAGAATTCATGGGTTGGCATGTAGCCACAATTACCAAATGAATAGCTCGATTCCATTACATTGTATGTAATGATTTGGTCTCATCTGTACAGTTGTATGTAATTATATAGGACTATATATAATTCGGATAGATGAATATTGAGCCTTAAGTTCAATTTGTACCTCAGCCCAAATAAATGCTTAAATGTAGTCAAGTCAATCAGTGACCAGAATTAGTGGCATATTTAGACTAATACCACCAGTCAGTAGTAAGGTAGTGACATACAACAACAGATTTACAAAACCAGGCTATTATCTCCTCAAATCTGCATTAAGTAGTATTATCTTCTCTATTTACATTAAGTAGTACCACCTGCCAAAGTTTTAAAATACGTAACTAGCAAATACAAATACTCCTCTACAATACAGAGCTCCTGTGCAATCACATCACTGAAAGTGACTACTAGGAAATTTCACAATCCATAGTTTAAAGTCAATTGTGCTTAAACATACATCACCCCTCTCTTCCTCCCTCTCATGTCCACTCTGACGGTGCTGATTAGGATGACTGTAGCCAGCACGACCATTAGAAAATGAATGTACACTACCTAAGGAAAGAAATATCCACATTTAAACCAGGTAAAAACCCCAATAACTATTTAGAGGTCAATACAGAAGCAACAACATAAACCACTTCGCATTGCTGCACAACGGCACATAAAATAGCTTTAAGATACCTTACAACTTCAAAGGGGTTTAAAATAAACATTTTAAGCTCTACAACAACTGGTTTTCTTATTTCATGTACTGCAGAATCACCATAGTAACCCCAAAGAACTGAACATCGCATTCTGGGGATTTAGCAGCACTGAGGGGAAAAATAAACTGATGCAGATTAAAGAGTTGGGGTCATAGGCAGGCTGGAGTAATTTTACTGTTTTATAGTATCACAAACTCCAATGCCACTCTGGGCAGTACCACTGTATCCCAATGATTATACTGATATATACAAATACCTGTTGGAAAGGCCCCTCCAAAAAACATGTTGAATAGATCCTCTGGGGTAATATCTGCCTCACAACCTCTATGGAAGTTGAATCTACCGTTGCTAGGGTGATTGCATGTTTGCTCTTCGCTGCCTGTAAGGTCATACTGCTTTCGCTTTTCTGGATTACTCAGCACAGCATACGCATTTCCAATTTCTGAAACAAGGAATAAAAGACAACTCCCATAAATGAAAGATAAGAGCTATTCCAGCATGAAAATTGCAATTTCAAAGTCAGGAGCAGACAGAGAATGATGTCTTTTACTGTATGTTACAAATCAACTATAGTAGAACAAGGTCCAGAAACATCTCTACTTTTCTTAGCATAGCTCCCACAGTTTCCCACCGACGCCATTCAAAGCCTTTTATCCTGTTGAAATAGGCAGAAGGCAGGAGAGCTTTGTTTCTTTTCCCAGGGGAACACCTACACTTGTGGAAATGTTCTCGCTCACTGCAGTTACTAAAAAAGCATCCAGCATTACAGTGAGAGCTTTAAAGCTGAGTAATTGCAAAGTTCAGTTTGCTCTAGCAGCCTAGCTTAAAAACATCATGGACTCACAGGTTTTCTTTGGTTTCATTTGGTAAGTGGTGACTTTTTTGAATGCATCAACTTTATTGTCTGCAAGAGTATTAATGTATTTTTCTGTATTTTTCTTAAGATATTTTATGGATTACATTAACAACACAACATTTTGCATGATGTAACATGCATGCACGGCAGGAACACATGTGCTCCTAAGGTTGTCAGTACAACCTCAATGTTCGCAGCACCTGTCCTGGATGCTTGTCCCCATTTATGCTACATTATAACAAATGGACAACTTCAATTTTGACAGTAGAAGGGATAAAACTGAGTTAGGTGAGCATGGACAGAATCAGTGTGAAAAACCACAAGGTCTGCTGACTTTGCAAGCTTTAACTGCAGCTGCTGTGCACAGACAAGCTGCTATTGCAGACTGAAGGAAAATGTCTGTTGGCACTCAATGAACAATCTTCACTCAGTCGTATCTTCATTACATCCTTCTGCTCTCTTGTCTTGTCTCTCCTCCAGGCCTCTCCAACAAAAGGCTTCTTTTGCAGCCAACCAAAACAAGGCACAGGGACTGTTTTTCAGTGTCCAGAAGCCATCAGTCATCAAAATTTCGTGAGAGGTGCAACACTACAACCTCAACACATGCAAATAAGAACTATGACTTTGCATAATTACTGGTTTCAACATTATCCAATTAAAAAAAAAAAGTGAATGAATCTTAGCCATGTGCCTTATAAGATGCCCTTAGAAATAATCACTAGTAATTTTTTTAAGTGGAGGAGAAATCCCAAAGAAATTAAGCCTGGTAATGTGCACTGACAGCATGAGATACACTACTGACACCAAGTACTGCTACAAGGTTCCTCTTGTATCCTCTATTCAGCACAAGGATAAAATTGGTAGTAAAAATCTAGATTTTCCCAACAGTTAAGAATTCAGGGAGACATAAATCAGGTTACTGCAGGTAAAGTGAAGACAGCATCCTGTCACAGTATGGTCAGCATTTCAGCTATTTGTTATTTGGTTTTGATTATTTAATGATAATTCACAACTGACTTGACTCAAAGATGATTGAAATGAAAAAACCCCTAACTGCTCATAAGTTTCAAAAGAAATATTTTTGATGAAGTTGGTAAAAGAAGTTCTAAGAGATTAAGTTATTATATTTGCACAAACTTCTTAATCTGAAATACAGTCTCAGGGAGACCACTCAATACAAGAGTTGTACTACGCAGCTCAAGATCCAAGTACCTTGCCTAGCATCAAACTCTGTTTTCTAATGTGTCCTTTCCTTAAAATAATGCATTATTATGAAACTCCTTTTCTCAGCTGTATGCTAGAAACTCATCAGACACCTTTAAAGGCAAACTGAATCATAAATTTACTCAGCCATACAAAAAGATTACAATAATTTCAAAGCAAGAAAAATGCTACCTTTTATTAAGTTATTTTTAGTCAACAAGATTCCCCTCAAAATGTTCATTTACTCATCTAGTTAAGAACCAGAAAATGAAATTAAGCTGAAGAAATCAAACTTGTAGAAAGCACTGATGTTGAACAAAAGATTAAATAAGAAGAAACTGATTTCTAACATTACAAAGATTATTTAAAACGCTATTAACAAAGAAGAATTGTTTTACTCACAGGGCTGGAGTCAATTTTATAAGAATAATACCTTTTTTTTTTAGCTAAAGCCATCATGTAGCTGCATTAAAATAATCATTAACCATCAACCTTCCTGCTATATTCTATCTAATTTTCATCTGGAATTGGTAATATATTATTATAATTACCTCTTAAATGACTTCTGTATTAGAGATTGTTTTTCTTTTTTTTTTTCCCTTCCCAAATTTAAATCTGATTAACTCTTTCAAATGTCTGCATGTAAACCTCACACAGGAAAAAAATAAAATAGATGTAGCACAATCATATTGTCTATTTATGCATGATCATTTCTCACACATTAATATTTTTCTTCATCTATGCCTGAGATGAATGTGTACTTTTCCTTAAAAAGCTTTTCCTCAGCAATTTCTCTTGTGCAGGGCTAAGATCAGGTCAAGTCAAACTAAATGTTACCTGAAATTGTCAAAGGCAATTGTTAATAAGGCCATGTTTGAACCCAAGTGTTTCTGTGTGGAAAAAGTAGTAAAACTACACACAAACAAGGAATTCTAAAGAAAAGGTAACAGCGTGGCATGTGAATCTGTAAAAACTGCATTTGGCTTTGATTTTTTCAGGCTCAAGTAAAAATTTGAGATAGTAAGATTCAACTGACTACATTATATCAACAACAGTAAAAAAGTGCAATGGGTTTCACAGATCAAGTATTTACTCCTTGTTCCTGAAAATTACAGTCAATCTTCTGAAACCGAACCCTACTACAAAAGCCCACATTATTTATTTATGCTTCTAGGTGTTTGTGAAGACAATAAAGGTCAAGTATTTTCTTGGATTAAAATGTCAGTTTACTATTAGGCACAAAACACCACACTGACAATTCTGTAGAAAGACAAGTGACCAACGCAGATTAATTTCTGTTCATCTGACACAGTTTAATCATAAAAGAAATTTTAAGTGAAAAAGGGTTTTTACTTTTAAAAGCCTCTGTTGCTCCAGGTGCATCATTTTTGTCTGGGTGGAATTTCAAAGCAAGTTTCCTGTAAGCCTTCTTTAGGTCTTCTTCACCCGCATCCTTTGACACCCCAAGGACTTCATAATAGTTTTTACATTTCTTTATACTGCAAAAGAAAATGAAGTAAAACATTGTAAACAAAAAGATGTAAAAGATGTTAGAACACAGCTGCAAATGAGGTAATCCATTACACTGATGCAATACATCTCTCACTTTCAATTTAAAATCTATTTAAAAATCCACTCCAGAAAAAAAGAATGGCATTTTTCATCATGAACTCACCACTGAGCACAACAAACAATCATACTCAAAATTACTTACTGCGTACATTTATTTTACTACTTCTACTGTAGAACTACTAGAGTTGTAAGAAATTGTTCCAGTTTGCAATTACTGTAGCATTTCCTCATCCCCAATTATTTGAATATTGATGTAAATAATGCGTAAAATGAAGATTCCAAATTTACTTCGTAGAGCTCACGGGTAGGAAGGCCTGTTGTGGCTGTCAACAGCAAATGCTCTCTGGTATGCACGATATAAAACAAAATGGACAATACCTCCCTTTCTCCAAACAAAAGTCAAGTCATAACACCATTCAAGCATTCACTTTTCAGGGAAATAAGGCACATGAGAATACCTCTGCTGCTGGGAATGTACCTGGATCTTAACAAGCTTTCTGTAAGTACTTATACAAATTCAAAGAAACAATCACAGCTTCAGCAATTTCAAATTCAGCTCATATGTTCAATGTAGCTTTTTTTAAACTCTGAAATATTCTTCCTGTAAGCCGTCTCACCCAGACAGGAAAAGCAAAACCTGGAAATGATGTCATGATTTGGTAGGCTTTACAATACCCAGAAGAGG